CGAAGCATACCAACGACCATTTTCTGTGGCCAGGGCATCTTATCTGAGCCGAAGGATTTACAATCGTTGCAGGATGAGGCAGGCTGCTAATATCATGTATGTGCCGTTTGTCAGACCAAGTTCGCAGCAAAAGCAAAGACAATCCCACGGGGAGTACTATTCCAGAAGCGCAAGCAGCAGCAGCAGCTCCTCCAGCAGCACCTGCAAGTATCCCAGTGCGGGGTGAAAGCCTTGCAGTTCAGGCGGTCGCAGGTTGCAGGTCTTCAGCTTTTCGCCATATTTGCTTTGTGTTTGGTGTTTGTGATGCCAGTAACAGTGATGAAAAATGATCATCGTACTAGCAGCAATAATAACAACGCGTTTCAGATCAGGGTTCGGGTCTTGGGGACTAGGAGACGAAGCCACGGCACTCTTTCGCGGGGCTCAGACACACTGCCATGGCTTCTGAGTATGAAGATCAAAGCCCCAATTGCAAGCATTATCCCCAACCTTCATGCGCCATGACTGCTGAGGTAATCTCTGAATCTAAGGCCAGATCCAAAAAGGTGAGAAACCCAACAGCATGAGCTCTAAATTCCAAAACCCCTAAACCCTTGAACACAGAATTTCCGATACCGTAAAGTTACCGCCCAAACTCCTGAAGTCTTTCTCAGCTCTGGAAACCCCTAAGTAAACCCTGAACATCGAGAACACCTGCAACAGTCCTTGACAAAGCACTGCAAAACCCTCTAATACCAAAATACAGGAACCTCTTTACCAAAATCACCGTTAAAACCAGCCGAAAACCGACGATCAGAGGCAGACGCCTTCCTTGCCGAAGCGGCGAAGCCGCTGCCGGCGCCCCTTCGCCTCACCGAGGACTCTGTGCTGAGGGTCTTGTAAACGCTGGAAAACAGAATTAAACACACGTACTACAAGGCTCTTACACCGCCAGAGGGTACAGCCATTATGGCATTAGGTCCCAAAAGACCATCCCCAATATGGTTTTTGGGACCTGACTGTATATGGAAGCCTCAGCCCAAAACCCCAAATCCCAAACTTTACACCATGTTAAAGTCGTTCACCGGGAAGGCCGATAGAGCCCCGCTCAGCGCGGAAGCGCCGAACTCTGGTAGTGGCCCGGCTGCGATTTCGGGGTTCCTCTAAATGTTGCTATTAGGCAGGTACGTACCTAGAGCCTCCGAAAACCCGTAGTTAAGCAACATACTTTAGATTTTATTAGGATCCCTACTATGATTTAAGGTATATTCCTTAATTAAAGGGTTCAGAAGGCTTGGGTACTATAAGAGTTACTACAAGGGTTGTAGCCCTGATGGGCTCGTTCTGGGTGTTGGGGCTCGGGGATTCCAGGCACGAAGTTCAACTTGTATCGGCGGAGCTGCTTCGAGAAGATGTGCGAAGTTGGGTCGTTGCTGCTACTCGGAGGATGACTACTCCACATATGCATGTATGTGTACGACACTCTTTCTCTCTGTCTCTCTGTCTCTCTGTCTCTCTGTCTCTCTGTCTCTCTGTCTCTCTGTCTCTCTGTCTCTCTGTCTCTCTGTCTCTCTCTGTCTCTCTGTCTCTCTGTCTCTCTGTCTCTCTGTCTCTCTGTCTCTCTGTCTCTCTGTCTCTCTGTCTCTCTGTCTCTCTGTCTCTCTGTCTCTCTGTCTCTCTGTCTCTCTGTCTCTCTGTCTCTCTGTCTCTCTGTCTCTCTCTCTCTCTCTCTCTGTCTCTCTGTCTCTCTGTCTCTCTGTCTCTCTGTCTCTCTGTCTCTCTGTCTCTCTGTCTCTCTCTGTCTCTCTGTCTCTCTGTCTCTCTCTCTCGTCTCTCTGTCTCTCTGTCTCTCTGTCTCTCTTCTCTCTCTCTCTGTCTCTCTCTGTCTCTCTCTGTCTCTCTCTGTCTCTCTCTGTTCTCTCTCTGTCTCTCTGTCTCTCTGTCTGTCTGTCTGTCTGTCTCTCTGTCTCTCTGTCTCTCTGTCTGTCTCTCTGTCTCTGTCTGTCTGTCTGTCTGTGTCTGTCTGTCTGTCTGTCTGTTCTGTCTGTCTGTTCTGTTCTGTCTGTCTGTCTCTGTCTGTCTGTCTGTCTGTCTGTGTCTGTCTCGTCTGTCTCTCTCTCTCTCTCTCTCTCTCTCTCTCTCTCTCTCTCTCTCTCTCTCTCTCTCTCTCTCTCTCTCTCTCTCTCTCTCTCTCTCTCTATATATATAGACATAGATCATGGCTCGGGTGTTACTGTGGGTTTAAGTAAGAAGAGCCTCGTTCTGGCTCCCTGCCAGGCTTGAGGCTCTGAAGGGTATTTTTGACGGCACTAGCCCTAGGCCGTTGCAACAGGCGGGTGCATCAAGTCTTGGTTTGGGCATCATAAGAATGGCGCAGGTAGTGGCAGTTGCAACGGCCATATCTACATGAATGAATGAATGAATGTATGTATTGTTATTTTATGTTATGCAGTGCTATGTTATGTTATGTGATGTTATGTCGTTTTATGTTATGCTATGACATGTTATGCTCTGATATATTGTGTATGTGCGCACTTATATACGTATGTACTTCGGTACGTACGTACGCAGGTAGGTATGTACGTATGTATGTATGTATGTATGTATGTATGTACATCTATGAGTAGTATATGTATGTGTATGTATATTATGCATATGTATATGTGTTATGTGTATGTATATGTACGCATGTATATTATATATATATATATATGTATATATTTATATCTTTATATAGATGTGTATATATCTAGATGTATATGTAGGAACATAGATCGTCTACAAGACCATCTGTATCCATATTGTACACTTTGAAGCCCGCACCTGCTAGCTAGCCAGCTAGGAACACGGAACCGTCAAGTCCTTCACTCTCCAACCTAATTGCTAGTTCTTTTGGCCAGAATTTCTGGAGGGGTTTGTTGCCCCGGGTTTTGCTCAAGCTGAGGGTTTCCGAGCAAGGGTTTTGGAGCACTACAGCATAGGACCACGAGCACATGCCGAAAATGCATTCAAGCTCCGGATCTTTCAGCCACGACGCCCGCCGTCCTTAACAACGACCCTGTCTTAGAACCGCATCAACCCGAAGCCCCTTGTCCCTCAAACGCCCTTGCAGTAGAACTCGGAAGCAAGGTCCAAAACAAGCAGGCAACGCCCAACCTGAACCACTCAGTCCTGAAATCCCCAGGACCCTGAACCGTTACTCACTGTAGAGCTCTAATCCAGAACGCCCTTGAGCAGAAAGCAAAGACACACCAAAACCAGAAAGCCCACTTCCACACCCCAGGCCCTATAGCATAAACTCGAGACTCTATGCCCGGGAGCCCTACATCGTAAACCCGCAGCGGTGCCTTATTTTGGGGTCCTTATAATGGGGATCCTACGATTTAGGGTACTATATTAGGGTCCCCTATTTTCGGAAACTCCCATATGGGGTTGTTTCTCAAACCTTACAAGGCAAGAGGTTGCCACCCCAAATCCAAGCATGTCACAGGCTTCGCTCCACGCGGGCGGCGTGCAGCGCCAGGCGCGCGGGGGCGGGTGGGAAGAGCCCCACAGAAGCAGACAGGTTGAGAGGTTGGGGGATTAGGACAGCACGGGTTCTAGGGCTTGGCAACGATTGTGGGATTTGTCGAAGAGTTTAGGATTTTAAGTTTGGGTTTCCTTCGGGTTGTCTAGACTCAATCCTTGGAAAGCAGTGCTATTGATACTAGGCCGGGGCTCCCAGGTAGTTTCGAGAGGCGTGCGGGATTGAGGATTTAGCGGCTGAGGATTGAGTTAGGACTTACTTGTTTGGCGAGGGTGGGCTTGAAGGTTTTGGGCTTCGGGGTTTAGGTAATACGGCGTAGATTATTTGGGTACCACTTGGGGGCCTGCCACGTTGCCGCGAAGACAGCGCAGGGTTCAGGATTGCACCACGTGTAGGGTTGAAGAGTTTGGGACAGGCAAAAAGTTGTAGTAGTAGTACTATTATTTATTATTAGTATTACTACTATTATTATTATTCTTCTTCTTCTTATTATTATTATGACTACTAGTATTAGCAGTAGTATTACTATAGGAGAGGGGTTGTTGTCAATTCTACCGCGTCGGCTGCTGTCCCTTGGGACCGAATCTTGCAAGCCGAAGACTCTCTCGAAACTTCTGCAATACTACAGGGGCTTAAATAATTACCTATACTATTTTTAGGGGTTCCTGATCAAAACCCTATGCTAATATTTTTTTTATAAGGAGTCTCTCAGAGGCTGCTGGTATCCGAAGAGTTTCCGACCAACAAATCTCTTCCTAGCTTTTCTGCTCAGCAGGTGCTGGCAAAGCTTCAGCAGACGGCGCGGCAAACTCAAGGCAAGCCAGTACTCCTGCGCACTACTGCTGCTAGGGCGATTCCAAATCGTGCTACCCGTTACCCTGAGCTTCATACTCTGACACCCCGAACCCATAACACAGCAGGGAATGCTCAATTGTGGTATTTCGTTTGCTTTTAAGATGGATTAAAGACTAGTTCGTTACCCGTCTCGAGCATGCAAGTCATGCATGCATTCTGTTTGGCAGCTGCCATATGTCTCATGTTTTCCCCCTAACGCCAAACCCGAGTCCGGCAGCCACAAAGACTTCTCATGGGGAGCAGGTGCCTGGGCTAACTTATATACCCGAAACGGTACCAGCAAAGACCGAATCACTCCCTTTGATCTATCCATCCATCCTTCCTTACGTCCATCCATCCGTCCGTCCATCCATCTCTCTGTCTGTCTGTGTGACTGACGGTCTGCTTATCTACCCATCCATCTATGTGTCATCTGTCTATCTGTCCATCCGTCGATCTTATCGTCTATCTGTTTATCTATGCATCAATCTATCTGTCCATCTTTCTATCGATCGATGTATCTACCTACCCATCTATCTACCCGCCACCGCAGTTACACGCCCAAAGGCCGTGTCCTTGCCCAAAGCCACTTCGGCTGAAGAACCTGACAAACTTCACCGAGACACGAGTTTACTGCGTGCCGTTTCGTTGTTTTATCGCCATGATGCGGCCAGTTCTGCAATTCCTGCTTGTGGTATCGGTGGTCGCCGATTTAGAGGGACAGATTGACAGTTTCCAGAAGGGCAAAGAGGATGGAAGCAATCCTTCTGAGACGGAGTGTGGCCCATCATTCTGCTTTGATACCCAGACAGCAAACTGTTTTCAAAAGCTACCAGCGAAGGTATGCATGAGGGCCATATACATGTGTGTCAACTACATGTTCAGTGACACGAAGCCGCAAGAGTTCTGCGACAAGGAAAGGAAGAACGGTAACTCCGAAGCAATCGCTGCCCTGGCCACTTCGGAATCCCAGCCCGAGAAGATGCAGCGCGTGCCGCTGCCGGAAGCCATTTGGCTGATGTCGCTCATCGTTTTTGGGTTCTTCATCGTCCTCAAGCATTTCCGGGCTCAGCCGAAGGCTGAGATCACCGGGATAAAGACGCCATTGCTGTGTGACGCAGTGTAATATGCACTTGCGGCTTGCATTGAGCCCTTGTGTCGTGCTGACACATAAGCCTGCTAGCTGAAGAATGGTTCATGCCAGCCCTTATCACCAGACACCTTCTTCCACGAATTGGCTCATCAGCCTAGTGGTGCATGCTATCCCTGATGAAGCAACAAAGCAGGCAACAATTCAACGGGTTCATGTGCTTGCACGGCAGAGCCTCCCGTCTTTAAAGGTGAGGCATCTTGGCCAGAGACTGGTAACCCAAAACCCTAAACCTTTTGTGCTGGGATGATGCCGGTCCAGCTTGTGCATCCAGCATGTTGCACCCGAGGGCCGAGACTCGCTTTTGTCACGAATTCGGCTTTGCTTTGCCAAGTTGCCAGGCAACACAACAGTGTTGCATAATATGGGGGCCTAAATAATTGCCTGTACTATTGTGGGGGTTCCATAATATTCAACTATAGTAGAATCTACCCCAAAGCCCTACTCTAATCCTAAAGGCCCCTAAAGTATACGGCAGCCGCACGAGATCCACCTGTTGATCGCCTGAAAACGGTCTAGCATCCGGCTGCCGTCAGACTTTTGGGTCGGGATTCTGAGCAGCTCCGGTTTAGGGTTTAGGGGGGTTTAGGGTTTAGGGTTTAGGGTTTAGGGTTTAGGGTTTAGGGTTTATGTCTTACCTCCTGGCTTGTTTATGTGGGTGGTTGTCAAAATTACGGTCCCTTTTTTGGCTACCCTCAACATTAGGTGCCGTATTATAATAGGGACCCAGAAAGGGACCATAATTTTGACAACTACCCATGTTGGTAGCTCTCAAGGCGTTAAGGGTTGTGCTTTCTTACTAAGTTGACATCCGCATACCCTCTTTATGCTATGTGTGTTACGTTTGCCCGCTGGTTGTTATAGTTTTTGTATTCGCGCCTGGATGTGTGTACTACTAGTTCCAACATCTTCTTCTTTTGCCGCACAACCCTGATGAACATCCTTACTCTGACCATGGCAATCAAACCCTATACACCACAGGCAAAACCCTGAAATGCTCGACCCTAGACACGAAGCCCCGGAGCCCCAAATAATTGTGGAATCCTAAACCAGTCTTACCCAAGTCTAAACATTAAGTTGCAAACTCAAGTACTACTAAAGTCCTGTACCAGAGCCCCGGATCTGCCAGAGAGCGGTTTAAGGTTTGGGGTTCAGTGTTTAGCTCTACGATCGAGCTCTGCTCAGGCGCATCCCTGCGCAAAAGCCCTTCTACTCGACGGAGCCGTCGCTCTTGTTGAAGGCGGTTCAGGGTGTATATATATATATATATATATATATATATATATCTACAGTTTATGTATCTGTATCTCTCTCCCTCAGTAAAAATGTTTTTTGTGTGCAGCGCGTAGGGTTTCGGCTTTTAAGGCGTTCTGGGCCTTGCTGCAGGCGGCATTCGTAGAGTCTACCCGAGTTTGAACGGGGGAAGGAAGTATTTTCATGAAGCACAATCTTCCATCCATCATGTATGTATGTATGTCTGTCTGTCTGTCTATATGTATGTACCTGCACCTCTGCCCATCTCACACCCGTGCGTGCACTCAGCCACTCAGCCACTCACCCACTCACCCACTCACCCACTCACCCACTGACCCACCCACCCACTCACCCACTCACCCAAACACCTGCCCACCTACCCACCAACCCACCCACCCACCGACTCACTCACTCACTCACTCACTCACTCTCTAACTCTCTCTCTCTCTAACTCTCTCTCTCCCACTCTGACTCACTCTCACTCACTCGCACTCACTCACTCGCTCTCTCTCTCGCTCTCTCCCTCCCTCCTCCCTCCCTCCCTCCCTCCCTCTCTCTCTCTCTCTCTCTCTCTCTCTCTCTCTCTCTCTCTCTCTCTCTCTCTCTCTCTCTCTCTCTCTCTCTCTCTCTCTCTCTCTCTCTCTCTCTCTCTCTCTCTCTGTGCCTCACTCTGGTTCGATGCATACACTTGCAAAATCTCGCAAACAAACCTACACACAGATATACAGACACACGTACATACACAACAAAACAAAACACAGCAAAACTTCACTATGCAAACAATAAGATACACATACATACATACATACATACATACATCCAGGCAGGCAGACAGACAGACGGACAGACAGACGTGCGTTTCAACAATGCTACATCTTGAAACACAGACTTCTTATGCCGCGTTAAGCCAGCATGACGTCATTCATTTCGACAACCTCTTGGTTGCGTATCCAAATTCAGCCTTGCACCTACGACCGAAGACGTCATCCACCGGAGAGACTGCAAACGGATCAATGTTCAATGCTGAACTCAGCCAAACTTAGCGATCATGCTCGATGAGCGATCTTACCTAATTGGCATTTGAAGACACCGAGCCACAAGCTTGCGGAGGTGGCAAAAGCACCGCTTCCCAACTTGGACCAGCTGGTGGCTTCGTCTGGTTTGCAAGGCTTCAGGTCAGTGTGTTTGGGTATCCCCCGCCCCCACGAGGTCGAAAAACTGAGAAGGGGACCCGGAAGCCTTAGTATCTTTTTCTGGATACTCTCATCCTGTCCTGGGGGTTCTTGGGCTGTGGCATGGGCTGCGTCCCGAAATAGAAATATTGGTTCAACACTGTCGGCAATTCGAGGTGTCGTTGCATTCAGTGGCAGCTGCTGTCGGAGTTGTGTTTGTACCAGGGCCAATTCGCAGGTGTTGCCATGGACATGTGTGGAATCTCGAGTGGTAAGAAGTAGCGGCTTGGGCAAATTGCATGACCAGGAACTGACGCTAATCTTGCGGCACCAGGTTCCCATGGCCTCAGTCCCAAAGCTCAACCTTCCGAAGCAACGACCCTGGCCCAAAACCAAGCCCCGAGCAAAACCCAAACCCCGCCACAGGTCCCGACAAACACCTCCAAAGCACAGAAGGCACACAAACACCTCGAACACCCCTAAGCTACCCTAAACCACTAAACCCTAAACCCTCAACCCTAAACCCCTATAACCTAAACCCTCAATCCTAAACCCTAAACCCCTAAACCCCTAAACCTCTAAACCCTAAACCCCTAAACCCCTAACCCCTAAACCCCGAAACCCCTAAACCCCCAAAACCTCTAAACCCTAACCCCTAAACCCTTACACCCCTAAAGACCCTAAGGTGGCTTGCCTCGTACCCGGAGCCGAGATTACAACCGAGGCAGCTGAATGCTGCAGGGATCTTCAGTTCGGTTTAGGGTTTAGGGTTTAGGGTTTAGGGTTTAGGTGTCGGGAAGCCTAAATCCCCGAACCCTTAAACCCCTTACCTATCGGCCTTTGTGTGGCAGACTGGAGTGCTCGGTAAAAGAGGGGCTCAAAAAAGAAACCCTTACCTCAAACCCTCAAATCCTAAGCCCTAAGACCCTAGAGCGATGTCGGGAGAGAGTGTTCGCAGTGCTGAGATTGATGAGATCTTGGGTGATGTGGATGGTGGTTCCTCGTGAGGAGCGCATTGGATGCCCTTTTGCACTGGGTCAGAGGCCTCGAGCAAGGCACCTCTTAGGCTCCACTTGTAGCGAACCGGAAGCCCTTATCAAAATATAATTAATAATCATAATAATAATAATAAGTATTGTTTATATAAAATATAGTTATATTATGATAACAATATTAAATATAAGCCATCAGCCCGCAGGGGTTTAGGGTGGGAGTTTAGGCTGCGGGTCTTTATCCTCCAGGTCTGGGAAGTGAGTTTTGGCTTCGAGGTTTACGCCTGGCTTCTGCATGAACGCAGGGGATTGAGGGTAAGGAGCTGGGTTGGGTTCGCGGTTTTGGGGTTTTAGGATCAATTAAGCACGAGGCTAGGCTTGCGGGAGGCCCTGTGACAAGTCGCCAAATGTGGCTATCCCGAGCCGAAAACTGTAGTGCCAAATCTTTTATCCTAACCCCTGAACGCAAACCCTAAAACAGGACCCTACAAAACCCGAAGCCTTGAAGCAGAACCCTGAACCCGAATGGCGAAACCGTGCAACCTGCAGGGGGCGTGGGAAAAAAGCACAGGCTTGCAGTGAGTCTGCTGCGAATCTAGAACGAGGGTTTCAAACACATAAGCCCAAAGCCTTGAACTACCAAAAACACCAAACCTGGGGCAGAACCTAAGTCTGAGACGAGAACCCAAACACCTTAGCGCCGTTAGTGCATTTGAGCTGCAGGGTTTGCTGCTTCAGTTGGCCGACGACGACTTGGTGAGGGGGCTCAGGGTCTAGGGTTGCGGACTAGGGGCTTTGGGTTGAGGTTTTAGGTCTTGAGGTCTTAGGGCTTCTGGTCTGGGGCTTAGGGCTAATAAGCGTTTGTGGTTGAGTTTGGCTTTGACAGTTCAAGGCCGGTTCAGGGTTTTGGGCTCTAAGGTGTGTGTGTGTGTGTCTCTGTGTGTGTGGCTTTGGGCTTTAGGTAAGTGCTTCTCTCATACCGGTGGCATTGCGGAAAGGAGGTAAGGGGGCAGGCAGGGATTCACAGATCAGGGGAAACTAATAAGCCATTTCTGCGGAACCTCACTCTCGACCCAACAAGACCTTGCGTAAGGGACCCTCGATGTTAAGAGCCCCTGGTCAAGCCCTGATCACCGTACAAGACCTCATGGGGCTTGGCATCCACTTGAAGGATCATGGGAGTTAGTAAGTCAGGTTATAAGTACCTTAATTGGGGTTAAAAGTATAGTTACCCTAATTATAACCCTAGTTACTACGTCCCATGATCCTTTAAGCAAGGTCATCGTGGCTTATGCGCTGCAGCAGATTGAAGAGGTCGCTGCCAGAATTGGATTGGTTACTTCATTGCGTTCGGGTTTGCTTTAGGGTTTAGGGTTCGATTTTGTGGAAACTGCTGATTGATGAGGAACTGGGAGTAGGGATTCAGGGTCTTGTGTGTCTTTCGGATCGGATTGAAGGATTCGGCGCGAGTTCGGTTCTCAGGTTTCTGGGAGCGGTCGACACGCCAGTGTCGCAGCGAAGCCGTAGAGGGCTCTGGGGTTTATGCACTGGGTGTGCG